GTTCTGCAAATAATAATAATAATAATAATAATAATAATAATAATAATGTTATCAGAATTGTGGCTGAAGGTGTCAGGAGAGCTAAACCCTCTCTCTCGTCTCGCTGGACATAAGCAGCAGCTGGAGATTCCGCAGTACCCGCGCCTCTGTCCAGTGTATGGAGATAGGCACTGGACACACAGGAGTGACCAGAACACCTGTGCCCTGGCTCCCCTCCCTGGCTGAGAATCCCTTTGATCTCTCCCTGCCTCCGCACTGTGTGCCTTGCTTCCCTATGGTCGGTGCTAGCTGAACTTGTCATCCTGTGGACTGGTGTAGCCTGACTAGCCTGAGCCCCCCAGTTGTGACCAGCTTGTGCGAATTGCCTCTGACAAAGGACCTCATGGCCTGCGCCTTGGGACCCCTGCTATCTCAATCATCTTTTCCTGCTTGTGACCTCCTTTGTCCCTTGGAATTCATTCTTTGATTTCACCAAACATGAGCTCAGTGACGTCTCTATTTCAGTGACGTCTCTATTTTTCCTCTATCAAAAGGACAGGTTCTGTGCGACAGGAGTTGTAAGCTGACGAAGATAAGACCCAAGGGTACACATGCTCAATAAAAGTGTCCCTGATAATCCTGTGACCACATCTGATGCCTTGGGCAGAGCACAGGGGCCCCCAGCAGTTGTCCAGTCCTGGCCAGTAGCTGGCCTCTTCCATCGCGAAGACCTCCTCCCTCCACACCCCACTTTTTTTTTTTTTTTTGCAGAACTGGGGGATCGAACTCAGGCCCTCAGGCTCTCTGCTTGCCAGGGAAACATTCCACTGAGCCATCTCTCCCGGCCCTGAAAAGTTTGTTAATGCTGTTTTTTTCCCCCTAACTTCAATTTTATTTTCACAGGATGTCAGGAAAAGTTAACAATTTACTAAAGTTCTCATATTCATAATTCACCTTGCCGTAGAGACTCAAATTGTCTGTTAGATTCCTGTGAGTAGACAGGCATGCTGTAATCCAAGCACTTGGGAGGCTTGTTGTAACCCAAAAATCAAAAAACCAGACTCAAACTTAAAAAGGCGAGAAAGCGCCTTATTTAGCTGAGCTCAGCGGCAGCACGTACTCTCGTCTCCAAGTATGTGCGCGCTTAGTCTAGGTGAGGCACAATTTTTAAAGGGAAAAGCCACAAGAGTAGGGGGAGGAGGGGGGATTTCACAAAGCTTACTTTAAGTTAGTCATGACCGAGGGTTAACTCTTTGTTCCCATAGACTAGGTCACATTTTGCAAACCCTACAGGAATATATTTTGTTTGGCTTAGGTGTTGTTTTTGTCTCCATAGGACATCTGATGATAGTTTCACCCATTTTCAGGAGTTCTGTTTGTTCTCATAAGAAGGAGAGTTTAACTCATTTTTCAGAATGTTGAGGAACATTTTTTTATCTTCTCTTGGAATGCTGAAGAACACTTTCTTATTTGCATGAACAGCCACATTCTCAGGGAAGGGAGGGAGGGGGTGGTTTACAAAACAAATCAAAGTTTTACAAAATGGAAGTTACAAAGCTTGTTACAAGATGGAGTTTAAGTTCTCAGCTTATACCAAATAGTCCTTGTTAATAAAGTTACAGTGCAAACATACAGAGTTACAAAATTGGAATCCATTGCACAAGTTATAATAGGCTGAGGCAGGAAGATTGCAAATTCAAACCAACCTGAACAGTTTAGCAAGTTAGTGAGGTCCTGTCTCAAAATAATTTTAAAAAAATAAAATAAAAATTGAGGCAGGGAATAGAGCTCAGCATGAGGGCCTTGGATTCAATTCCCAGTAACTCCCCTCGTCCCCCGCAAATAAGCTGGCAGGACAGAGAAGGAAGTAACTCAGCCACTGGAGAAGGAACAAGAAGCTGAATCTGAGACTCCAGCTGCAGAGCAGCCTTGCCAGGAAGCAGCCAACCCTCACTCCTCACCTCTTCCCAGAATAAGAGACAGCTCTGAGCAGAGGAGTGACACCCCCACACCGGTGACAAATACTGGGCAACCCCAGCAAAGGTACAAGAAGACAGAGGATGGCTGGACATGATGGCACATGCCTATGATCACAGCACTGGGTAGGCTGGGGCAGAAAGATCACTGAAAATTCAAGGTTGGCTGGGAGCGGTGGCTCATGCCTATAACCCCAGCACTCAGGAGGCAGAGGCTGGAGGATTGATGTGAGTTCGAGACCAGCCTGCTACAAAGTAAGCTCAAGGCCAGCCTGAGCTACAGTAAGCTCAAGGCCAGCCTGAGCTGCATATGTAGACTCTGTCTCAAAAAGATAGGGGGAGGGGAAAGCCAGGGACATGG